TATGAAATTTTCTAAATGAAAAGTTAAATCAAGGGTTAAAAACCAATTTCCCCAAGACTCACACTTAAAGTCCAGCACAACTTTGGAGTCTGCTTTCTTTGTGATGGAAAGAAACAGCTCAAAATTTAACACTTCTCAATCCAAAAGCCACACTAACATCTGGATTTCAACAAAGATAAATGGTTCTGGGGCCCAAAGCAGCACTGACAAACTCTACCAAAATCAGATCTTCTGTCATTCTGAAACAGCAGGAACCTTGTCCATGGACAATGCCTGCCTATCACATTTCATCTTTGGAAACAGCATGCAAGGCTCCTCTCCCCCGACCAGGAAAGCCAAACAAATGTTAACCCTGCAGTCCTGCTCTTGCTGTGCTGTTTCACATCTATTTGATTATCAGAGCAGCCAGAAGAACCTTCAGGGAGAGGACAGGTACTTCCTCCCCCACAGGGGTGCCCAGATCGTTTCCCTGGGCTCCTGTTCACACCAGTCCGTCCACCTGGACACTGTCTTCTCTACCCATTCCCACCCGTTAGAATCTGGCCATCTCTAACTCACCGTTTGTTGACCATGTAGCAGGTGCTAAGCAGAGCCTGCATATTCATTCATCGCTCACTCATTCATTCAGCAAGTATGCAGTGAGACCCTCTAGGAGCCAGGTGCCCTATAATGGTGAGCCAAATAGACATTGGTCCCTGCCCCCAAGGAGCTATAGTCTAGAGCAGTGGTTCTCAACCTTGGCTGCACATTAGAACCACCTGGGAATCTTTTTAAAATCCTGATTTCTGGGCCTCACCCTCCGGAAATTCTGTTTCTTTGTTATGGGGTGGGGCCACAACATTAGTAACAAAGAAACAGAATTTCCGGAGGATGAGGCCCGGAAATCAGGATTTTAAAAAGATTCCCAAGTGATTCTAAGGTGCAGCCGAGGTTGAGAACCACTGATTTAAACAAAGCCACAGCTGATGCAACTTCTGTGGCCACGGGCCCCTCCTCTACTAGGCACGTGAAACATTAAATGTCAGTACATATTTTTAAGAACGCTGACTTCTCTAGTTAAAGTAACACATTGTAGAAGACAGCTGATTTCTCTAATCTGCTGCTATTCTGCATTTTTCTTTACTTTGTGAATCATCAGGATTCTAATTGGCTCATTCAAAATTTCAGTGGTCAGGAAGTATAGAAGATTCTGTTTTTCAGTCTGTCCCAATCCCCACTTCCCCAGGGCTCCACATTAGGCGATACGGGTCCCCAACCACAGGGTTGTCACATGACCTGAGCTAGTCCAAGTACTCCCAAGTCCCAACTCAAGTCCAGAGATGGGAATATGAGCCATACAAGATCACAGCATGTTTTCTCTGGGATTGAAACCATCTCTGGGCATCTAAGATTTCTAAGCTGCCATACCATATTATCACAAACCGGGTGGTTTACAACAATAGGAATTTATTCTTTCACAGTTCTGGAGGTTAGAAATTCTAAAGCAAGGCGGTGGCAGGGCCATGTGGGTAAGAATCTTTCCATGACTCCTCCTGGTTTCCGATGGTGCCAGCAGTCCTGGCTTGTAGCCATATCACTCTAACCTCTGCCTGGGTTGTCACATGGCCACATCTCCCCTCTGTCTCTGTGCCTGCGACTTCACAGGTGCTCTCCTTTCTATGTGTGTCTCTATTCTCTTGTCTTTTTACAAGGATGCCCATCATACTGGATTAAGGGCCCATGCTACTTCAGTATGTCCTCCTTTATACTTACATCTTAATTACATCTCAGACCCTATTTCCAAAAGAGAGCACAGTCACCGGTACCAGGGACAGGACTTCCATATATCTTTAGGGGGGACGCAAATGAACCCATAACACTAAGTGAGAAAGAGCTTCTCCCACTGATTGCCATGTAAGCCTGCCCGCCCACCTGAGAAGTAAACAGAACCAAGAGATGGAGAAAGGCCGGGAAGAAAGGGCCCTATGTTATTCAATTCCTGGAATGCATCTATGTCCCAAGCCCAGTCCACTTCTCGGATTTCCCAATAACATGACCAACAAAATGCCTTTCATATTTAAATGCATTTAGAATGGATTTCTGACACAATCAAGAGTTCTAATTAATACATCTACCAATGAACAATACTATACAATGTGATGTCAAATAGTTTTCCATAATCTGGGTGGGGAAGAGAGGGTAGGATATATATGACTGGCATGAGCAATAACTGTTGAAATTAAGTGATGGGTATATAGGAGCTTATTATATATATATATATAT